TATATATTTCTCATTGCTTGAGTTTTGCTTTTTTGGGAACAAATCTTAAGAATTCAGTCCCTACCTTGTACATTTCAAAGTTACCATTTCAGCTACAGCAAAATCCTGCCATTTGAGGATTCCCAATTGGACTGCATAAGCCTTCTGGTCAAAACTCCAAGATTTTTTTTCTCATGTATTCTTATTTGTAATAGCAGTATGTTATTTACTGATATCTACCTTGTACTAAGTGCGCTAATGTTTCTACCAATTGCTTGTATTATTTATCAATGTCACACATGAAATTTTGGGAAGGAATATTATCCCTTCATTTGGAGATTTGCCTATTGCATATTCAAAACTAAATTGTTTCATTATACCACAAATCTATATGAAAAATGAATTATCACTGCTGTGTTTTTCTTCATTAACCATGTAGGTTCTCCAGGTCTTAAAGGTGATCAGGGAGCAGTTGGTTTTTCTGGACCTCGAGGATTCCCAGGGCCACCGGGGAAGACCGGGAGGACAGGTATTGTGATAATGTATATTTTCTTTGTATAACAAAAGCAATGGCCATCCTAGTGTGAATAGTAGACTCACATGAAGTTTATTTTGTGGTCTGAAACATGTTGAAACTAATTTCTCTCTACCTGAGGAAAGTTTCTATGCCCCAAAGGAAAATATTTGTCTTTAAGGGAAAAAAAAAAAAAAAAAGACAACAGGATTTATAAACTCTACCTAACCATAAATCACATGAAGAATGGTGTCTATGTTAGAACAGAGAGAATGGAAAGGCTAGCAAAGAAAAACAAGCAAAGTACAAATACCCTTTTAACGAAAACTGACCAAACCCTGGAGAGTTATAGTTAGCAATCTACGGATAGGTCAGAAATCCTATTCTGTGCAAGATAAACTGACTGCTGTTATATATTAGTTCTTAATAAACTACATTGTTCAGGTTCTTTAAAATTTATATATGTGATGACATTTTTTTCTACTCCTTAGAAAAAGGCCATAGCTTAAGCTTGAATTGTGAAATTTACACAGAAATTTTAGAAAGAGGCAGGCTTATTGTTTCCTAATTTCAAAGTAAAAAATGACTAAGAGAATAGGATCCTTATCATTGAGGTGTTTTTTAAATATAGATTTTGTTTTTTAGAGTAGTTTTAGGTTTATAGAAAAACTGCACAGAAAATACAGAGTTATCATAAACCCACGTCCAATTTCCCTATTGTTAACATCTTACATGTTAACATTATTAACATGGTGTATTTGTAATAATTGATGAACCAATATAGATACATTATTAGTAATTTAAGTCCACAGTTTATACTAGAGTTCACATTCGGTTTTATACATTCTGTGGATTTTGACAGTTGTATAATGATATGTATCCACCACTGGAGTATCATACAGAGTAGTTTCACTTCTCTAAAGATCCCCTGTAGTCTACCTACTCATCACCACCATACTCCTTCTCAATTTGGTGCAACCACTAATCTTTTGACGCTCTCTGTAGTTTTGCCTTTTCCAGAATGTCATACAGTTGAAACCATACAGTATGTAGTCATTTCAGATTGGCTTATTCCATTGAGCAGTATGCATTTAAGCTTCTCCATATCTTTTCGTGGCCAGATAGCTCATTTATTTCTAATGCTCAGTATATTCTAATGTATGGGTGTACTACAGTTGGCTTATCCACTCACCTATTCGAAGGACATCTTGGTCCTTCCCAGTTTTGGCAGTCATGAATAAAGTTGCTGACATGAGCTGACCTAGAAGTTTGATTGCTGGATCTCATGATTGCTGTGTTTAATTTTGTAAGAAACCACCAGACTGTCTTCCAAAGTGCCTGTGTCATTTTGCATTCCCACCAGCAGTGAATGAGCGTTCCTGTTGTTCTACATCCTCACCGGCTTTTGGTGTTATCAGCATTTTGGATTTTAGCAATTTTAATAGGTGTGTTGAGTTATTTTTGATAGTATCAGTGTTTATGGACTGTGGCAATGGCAATTGGTCTTGCAGAAAAATCAGCTAGCCACAAATAAGCAAGATACAATCAGACCCAATTACCTGAACTGAATGGTATATTTATATACCAACCATTTTTAAAACTGTCTAGCTTTAATCAGGCCTTTTTGGCAAAATGGGAAGAAGCGTTCATTTGTTAATCTGTTTGAAATTATCTACATCCTTCAGGAATTGCTGAATTTCCTAAATGGGCAATTTGTGTGCAATAGATAAATATATTTAAAAACCCTGAATTTGACAAAATTGCAAAGCTACTTATAGTTTCCAAGATAATTCAAAATAATTCCATGAAGTGAGAAAAAATATTTTATCTGTATTCTAAGTTTAAAGCTAAAATGGCATATTCATCTACTATCTCTCTCAAATAGGTCTCTCACAAAATCATGGTAAGATTTTGTCCAGGACACTTTCTGGTACAATCTGTTTGTAACTTTCTATTTACATTAAATCATAAGAGCTAACTTCATAAGTGAATATCACTATGCACTCTAAATAAATCAGAATTACTAGTTTGTCTTTCTGGAAAGTACATAAGAAGTGGAAACGTGGCAAAAAAAAATTTAAGAATGTTAAGAAGGCCTCACTCTTTCTCACAACCATCTGTCTGTTATATAGAGCCTTCCTACATGGTCACTGACGATGTTAAGAATAACCCACAGAGGGGATGTATAACTGTAGCACAACTTAGCTGATGTAATGAAAAATAACGTCACTTTGTTTTGAGCGTCTCTGTTTTCTCATACACTGTGCTTGAAGCTGAGGATACAAGAGGAGCCAGCTCTCCGCCCTGGAGTTTTCTCCCAGAAATTTCTCACAATGACCTCTCTTCTAAAATTTAATCAAAAAGATCATTCTGTAACATTTATGTGCACTATCTAACCTTACGTGGTTCATTTGGGAAGGGTAAACGGTTGTCAAGTGGTTTGACTTTGAATTTCATGTTGGCACATAGTTCTTCCATGTCTGTTATTTACACTCTTGGGAAATACAGGGATAGCAGAGTATGGTTGGTACTTGACAGAAATAGCATCGTATATCCTACGTCCCCACCCATTTATCCTCTCTGTGCCTCAGTTTCCTTATCTAAAAAACAGGGCTATTAAGAGGACCCATATTTTAGAATTTTTGCAGAATTCAAATAAATAGATGTCTTAAAGTACTTCAAATAATTCTGTCACAAAGCAAGCTCTATATTTATGTTAGTAGCTACTGCCTACACAAGCTGTAGGATTTTTTTCTACTATCAAATGCCTACAGTTCAACACATGCCCTCCAGTCAAAGTATTTGAGAGAGCATTCATTGATTCATTCACCAATCCAGCACAATTTTATGAGGGTTCACTGGGTGCCCTAGATAAATATAGCACAGCCTTTAAGGAGCAGGGACAGAAAAATGGAGAAGCAATTAGCTGTAATGCAACGTGGTAAGTAATAAACATTCATGAATTAGGACAAAATATTATGGGAGCAGAAAGTAGAGAGTGATGAATTCTTACAGAGGAAGTCATGTTAGTGCTGGACTAAAAGATGCATACTAGGCGGTGTACCTGAAGTTACTATAACATCGTATGTCAACTAGACTTCAATTAAAAAAAAAAAAAAGGTACAATTTCTTTAGGTCTGAGGTTCTCAAACGTGACCAGGCATTAGAATCACCTGTAGGAGGGGCACCGGGACGCCTCAGTCGGTTAAGCGTCTGCCTTCGGCTCAGGTCATGATCACAGGGTCCCGGGATGAAGCCCCTATCATGCTCCCTGCTCAGCGGGGGGTCTGCTTCTCCCTCTGCCCTTCCCCCCGCTCATGCTCATGCGCACTCTCTCTCTCTCAAATAAATAAATAAAAATTTTTTAAAAAAGAATGACCTTTAGGGCCTATTAAAACCATGTACTGTGCTCTACCCCCAGAGTTTCTGATTCAGTAGATTGGGGTCTGCACTGCCTTGAAAATTTTCAGTCCTCCTAAGTTTCCAGGTGATCAAGGTGATGCTGTTCCAGGGACCACATTTTGAGAACCAGATCTTTAGGTAAAAAAAAAGGAGTGGAGAAAGAGAACTCTGCAAAAAATAAATGCCAGGGCAGAGGCAGAATTTCCTTTGACAAAAGACATCCTTAGGATACCACTGCCTTATTTAAAAACTCAAATTTGGTAGAAATGTGAGCATCAGTGACTGGTATTACTTTAGTTATACTGTACATTAAAACAATGAATAATAGAGTCTCTCCTCCAAAGGAGTCCAAAGAAGGTAGTAAAATTAAAAATAAAATCCAATAATCGTCATATTCTAACTAACAACACAGCCTGGACTATCAGGATAGTATTGAAAGCATTGACAGATTTCAAAGCAAAAAGTTTAAGAACGATCACCCTATTTTCTCTTCTGCTCTCCTTTCCTTCCCCACCCTGTGCCCTTCCTTCCACATATAATACCTACTTACTATGTACGAGGTACAGTGCCAGCACCAGGAAATGAGAGGTACTTAAGACACAGTCAGTAACAGTCCTTAAGAGAGGGGACGATTTATGGTGTCTTGATCTATAGGGTAGAGCAGTTATAATCTCACATATTTACTTCAAAAAGTTTAGGAGTATCTAAAACTATAGGCCATTTATGATTCATTTATTTATTTGACAAATAATTACTGAACATTTTCTCTGTGTCCTTCATGGAAATATTCATAGATCGGTGAATATAGGGGTTTGGAGTTCAGGGGAGAGGCTGGAGATAGAAAGACAAAGTTGTAGCTATGATTATATAAATGTTTATTGGAATCATTGATTTTTTTTATTATGTTACTCACCATACATTACATCATTAGTTTTTGATGTAGTGTTCCATGATTCATTGTTTGTGTATAACACCCAGTGCTCCATGCAGTACGTGCCCTCTTTAATACCCATCACCAGGCTAACCCATCCCCCCACCCCCTCCCCTCTAGAACCCTCAGTTTGTTTTTCAGAGTCCATTGTCTCTCATGGTTCATCTCCCCCTCCGATTTCCCCCACTTCATTCTTCCCTGACTGCTATCTTCTTCTTCTTTTTTTTTTTTTAAACATATAATGTATTATTTGCTTCAGAGGCACAGATCTGTGATTCAACAGTCTTGCACAATTCACAGCACTCACCATAGCACATACCCTCCCCAGTGTCTATCACCCAGCCACCCCATCCCTCCAACCCCCCACCACTCCAGCAACCCTCAGTTTGTTTCCTGAGATTAAGAATTCCTCATATCAGTGAGATCATATGATACATGTCTTTCTCTGACTTATTTCGCTCAGCATAACACCCTCCAGTTCCATCCACGTCATTGCAAATGGCAAGATCTCATTCCTTTTGATGGCTGCATAATATTCCATTGTATATATATATACCACATCTTCTTTATCCATTCATCTGTTGATGGACATCTTGGCTCTTTCCATAGTTTGGCGATTGTGGACATTGCTGCTATAAACATTGGGGTGCACATACCCCTTCAGATCACTACATTTGTATCTTTGGGGTAAACACCCAGTAGTGCAATTGCTGGATCATAGGGTAGCTCCATTTTCAAGTTTTTGAGGAACCTCCATACTGTTTTCCAGAGTGGTTGCACCAGCTTGCATTCCCACCAACAGTGTAGGAGGGTTCCCCTTTCTCCGCATCCCCGCCAACATCTGACACATGAAAAAGTGCTCAATATCGCTTGGCATCAGGGAAATCCAAATCAAAACCTCAATGAGAGGTTTCTCACCAGTCAGAATGGCTAAAATTAACAAGTCTGGAATCATTGATTTTAATACTATTTCATGAGTAGACAGAAGAGAAGTGGCCCAGGATGAAGCCTTAAGTAGTGAAGGTACAGGCTGAGCAGGAAGAACAAAGCAGTGGATTGAACAGAAGCAGCCAGAGTGAGGAAGAAAATCTGGGGAAGGAGTAATGAAAAAGTCAAAGGCGAGAGGGAGTTTTAAAAGGTGGTCAAGGAAAATGAACTCTACAGAAACTCTTTGCATTATTGCTATAAGGACTCTTCAGAAAGCTCTTTGCATTATTGCTATAAGGACTTATTGAAAGAGGTTTCAGTGGGGTGAGTGGAAATCAGATCCGGGATGCTCAGAGATAAATTGCAGATGAGGATCAGGCAAGGAGGAGGAGCCAATTCTTGAGCAATCTGACTCTCAGAGAAGAAAGAAGTCAGTTTTTTGTTTGTTGTGTTTTCTCATTTGATTTTTTTTTCTTTGAAAGAGATTCAAATACTATTTAAATGCTGATGATAAGATAAAGGAATGGTTGAAGAGACAGAGGAAAGAGGGTAAGTTTAGTGAGAAGGTTGAAGGTGGAGACTTCAGGAAATAGGAAACAGCTGTAGGCTTAGGATGGAGGATGGTCACATCTAAAATTGAAATAGCTGAAATCATGATTCCAGGGTCATGGGTCCTGGGATCGAGGCATCGGGTACCTTGCTCAGTGGGGAGCCTGCTTCTCCCTCAGCCCGCTGCTCCCCCTGCATGTGCTCAGTCTCTCTCTCTCTCTCTCTCTCTCTGATAAATAAATAAATAAATAAATAAATAAATAAATAAATAAATAAATAAAT